TTAGGTTACGTCTACGTATATAATTATTATACTATATAGTAGTAGTAGTATAGTTACTTACGTACTCTACTACTTTACTTACTTATATATATATATATATATATATATATATATATATATATAAATAAACATAAGCAGACATGGTCATGAAATCATGGGTAATAGTTCTTAAAAGAAAAAAAAGGGCATGGTGAATACCCGGAAGGGCACCATGAGTAAAAATTACAGACGGTCATGGTCATGAAACCACGAGTAAAAGTGTTATGTAAATAAAGAAACCAGGCATGGTGAAAACCCGAAAGGGCACCGTGAGTAAAAATGGAAAAAGAAGATGGACATGGACGTGAGGTCATGGGTAGAAGAGCCCAATAAAAGAAGGAAGTTGGTGAAAACCGTTTTATGGCGCCACTTCCCTTGTTCAGGTGAAAACCCGAAAGGGCATTTGGACCAATAAGCAGGTTGATGCAACGTTCGCCTCCGTAGGTGGCTTCAGCCGGCTCTTCAGATGAAAATTCCTAGCAGTTTGGGAGTTAAGTACACACTACCAGAACTCAAAAAGAGCTTAAGAAAACTCCAGCATCCTGGTTCAATCCATGAAAAAGACCCAGAAGTCAGAAAACATGCCAAGAAAGCAAGGCAGAGTTCCATGCCAAAGCAGCCCATTCTCAAGAAGTCACAAAAAATAAGAAAATTCATTTCGACAAGCGAAGGACGCTCCCGAGAGGCGGTTGACTGTCAAGTCAGACCAACACCCCTCACTGACATTCAAGGTAGCAGGCTCCTTAAGGTTCCGAGTTGCTGTCAATCTAGACTTTTCAGGCTGGCCAACAAACACCCTTGACTAGGTTCAGTGAGACTAGGGCTTCAAGGCCTTGCCAAAATCCCTTCCTATCGACAGGCCTAGACTTTTCGGAACAGGCTAGTAAAAAGCCCTCGACTGGACCCGGTAGGATGGGGCCCAAAGTGGTACCCTTCCCGTCGAACAAACCCAAACCCTGGTGTAGCGCCCATCAAGGGCCCCTTGACTGTCTATCTAAGGCACACACATCTTTTGAAGTGGGTCTACAAGCCCTTAAACAAGGCCCCCACCAAAAGACTGAAAAAGCAAACCTGACTGATTGGGAAGAAAGTCGTTAAGCAAGAGCCCTGACTGCCAGACAGACCTTGATTCTGACTAATTGGGTCTACAAGCCCTTAAGCAAGGCCCCCAGTTGTTGGAACCAAAAAGAAGAGCTCCTGAAGTGGGTTTACAAGCCCTTATGTAAGGGTCCCACTAGTAGCTCAAGCCTCTTCTTCCCCAAAGTCTTGACGGTCTTGGGTCCACAAGCCCTTAAACAAGCCCCCCAGCTGTTGAAGCACCTTGGTCACCCCCCAAGGAAGAAGCTTCGTGTGATTTTCCCTTTGTCAGTCGTGTTGATGCTTGTGGCCAAGAAGAAAAACTAAAGTTGAAGGACCAATTTTGATTCCAAATGTTATCCTTCTCGCTTCTCTCGAAGCACAACATTCGGCGAGACAAGCTATTGATGGGTATTTTCCAACACTTGAATCCCCGGAGCGAATAAGGGGGAAGCTAATCGCAACCTAGGGCCATAGGTACCAAAAATGCAAGTGGACTACATAAGCATCGGTAGAATAAGCTCTGATCTGGAGCAAAATTGTCAAAGGGATTAGATCGGTCCCATAATGCATGAAAACACGGATTTTGGTGCTTTAAGAATGCCCGCCAAGTTTCGTCGCAATCCGACGAAGTTAAGCTGGATCAGACACAAAACCAGTTTTCAAATTCTGCCGCTAACGTGCTAAAAGAAGATCTTGTAACTACAGCCCTATTGCCGTAGCTTCAAATAAACACCAGAGCACTTCCATTGGATTCAGAAGACCTAAAAACTTATGGATATCAAATTTTGGCTCATTCATACTCTTCTGGACCATTCTATAGCCAACTTACCAAAAAATGATTGGTTCCACACTATTCTGGTACACCCTTGGTGAACCAGTTTTCGTTTATGGAAATTGTCTTATGATTTTGGGATCACATTCAAATGGTCATATCTTCTCCATCTTAAGTTGAAATGAGCCCAAATTTCAGGGAGACATTCGTCTCGTCGACGTGCATGTTTTGATATATGGAACGGCCCACGAGGTGGCATGAGACAAAAGAAATCTTAGAGAGAAGTTGTCCAAAATAACTCATGTGTTACAGATTTTTGAAAGAAGGAGATCCCTTTAATCAAGGGGCCACATCATGGAGTTCTGACCTAGGATCGGCTTGAAAGCAGGACCATTGTGACCGTAAGGTCGAGGGCTTCGATTCGAGCTAAACATCGCACATGATGAATGGCAGGAAGGGTAGTACTTTGAGGTTACAAAAGAGGCATTTTTCGGCTACCGAAATCCATATTCCAACAAATTCCCCAATTTGGAAAGTGGTGATCCAGTCATCAAATCAAGTCATTCTTGTCACCAAACGATCATGGTGACTTCCTCGTCGTTTTATGATAGAGAAATCGAGGTGAAACGTCAATAAATTGATGAAATCTAAGATCTAAGAACACAAGTTTTTTGTGTTTTGACGAATTTTGTTGAAGGCTCGAAACTTCGATTCGCGGATCAAATGGCATATCAAAACGATGACCTCGTCGAGGTCATCTCTTTCGCGTTATTCTTTTTCCCGAAAAGTTGCCAGAAGGACCCGAAACGAGCCCCAAAAGATTATCATGGTTCATGGCTACTTTTTGGGGACCATCTTGTCATTTGAAAGATTGTGGGCAAGGGCAAAAAACGAGAATTAAAGTCAAAATAAAGAAAAATGTAATTTCAAACAATTAGGTTTAGTTTTGAGTATCCACCCTTGTTTCAAGGGAATGCTATAAATACATATGCAGTCATTTGTAATCCCTCTTTCTTGGCTTTTGGAAAAAAAAGGTTGGAAGAGGTTAATGAATTGAACGATAATTCCCCCATAAGTTAAAAAATTAGCTTGAGTTTCTCTAGCTTGAGTTTCTTTTAGCTTGTATTTTTTTCTCTTTACCTTTTCTGTAGAGAGAGGAGAGAGAAAACTTTCCCCTTATAAGCCACTACCCTTGGGACTTCTCACCTCCCACCCTGAACTTCCCACTTCGACCTAGCCGCCAACCCAACTTCTCCCTCTTCTCTTTTCCCCTCTCTCCTTCTCCCTCCTTTCTTCCCTTCTCTCTCTTCCCCCTCTCTTACACGGCCCGACTTCTCTCTCTGTTTCTTCATCCTTTCCTCCCTTCTCTCTCTCACTCTCTCTTTCAATTGAGTCGGCAGCCTAGCCGCCGGTCCCTCTCTCTCTCTTATCTTCTCTTCTTTTCTTCTTTCTCTTTCTTTCTTTCCCCTTTCTCTCTCGCTCTCTCTCTATCGAGCCGACGGCCTAGCTACTGCGAGTCACCTCTCTCTTCTCTTCTTCTTCTTCTCTCTCTCTCTCTCTCTCTTTCTTTATTATTTCTCATTTGTCTCTCATTTTCTCTTTCCCTCAATCGAGCATGCGGCCTAGCTCTCAGTCCCTCTCTACCTTCTCTTCTTATCTCTCCCTCTCTCTCTTCCCCCCTGACTTGTTTCAAGTTCAATTTCTATGGACAATAATTTTTTGAATCAACAATGAAATGAATTCTTAAAAGAAAAAAGCTCTAACCAATAAACCATTCTAATATATCTGATATAAAATCGAAGTAGTATTGTATGTAAAGTTTAAAATATCGGTTGATCACCAAAATCGCCCAAAACTGGTTCCGATCTAACTGCAGTTACCGGTTAGGTCGGCCGGTATTGCGAACACTACCGTAAAGACATAGATGTGAAACCGAAATTTCTACGAGCATCTTTTCAATTAAAGAAGTTTATAAACGTCAACTATAGTTATGGAGTGACCATAGTCACCATACTATAGTTAAATCACTGTAATGAGAAAACAAAAATTATGTTTTTTTTTGTACCTGCTAAGCATGTGTGATGTTTAAGTATTTCATGAGTAAATTTATATAGTATATTTGTCATCATACCATAGTTACAGTATTTAATGAATAAATTTATATAGTATATTAGTTTTTGGTACGTAATAAGTAGGTGTGATGTTTCTTAAATTATTTAATGGGTAGATTTAGATGGTACATTTTTTTTTGGTATATACTAGTTAATTATGTATTTAATATTAGATGACAGCCACGAGGCATATAAATTAATTGACTTAATTATATTAGTCTAGTAAAATTTTTATGGATGAACTAGTTATTGATGGCTTTAACATAATTTTTATTTTTTAGAATTTCAAAATTTATAATATTATAAATTTATCTAATTTTTTGAGCCTAATCCAATATATTAGCGATATCTTTATATGAAGTAATTTTGCTTATATATATTTTTTATCCGATTTTTTCATCCGAATTTTTTAAAAAAAAACGATTTATTTTCGAATTTATGATGAGCCGATTTATTGATAGTCCCGTTTTGGTGACAATGGCCCGAACTACTTCGTGCCGGTGACTCGAATATGCGTGGACTCGATTCCCAAACTTTCAAAATGTGGAAACGAGTCTTCGTTAAGTTTGGTCAAGGTTATGGCTTGGGGTTTAAACCAAAAACCGAGAATTTCTTTCATCTGTCTCCATTAACCATGTCTGCTCCATCAGAGCATCCCCATCCTGAAACACTAGAAAACAAGGACGCCATGGATAACGGAGCTTCAGAGCTCGACCAAGGATCGGGAGATGGAGCAGGAGTGGAAGTTGAAGAAGAAGAATGCGGTTTCTGCTTGTTCATGAAAGGAGGAGGTTGCGGAGAAGAGTTTATAGCGTGGGAGAAGTGCGTGGAAGAAGGGGAGACGAAGAAGGAGGATATTGTTGAGAAGTGCTTTGAGGTCACGAGTTATCTCAAGAAATGCATGGATGAGCATTCTGCTTACTATGAACCGATTCTTAGGGCTGAGAAAGCCATGGAAGAGCAAGCCTCTGCAGAACTGGATCCAGAAGAGGGGAAAAATGGTGGCTTTGAGACGGAAGATTCCAGAGGGGATCATGTCTCTGATAAACCAGAGACTATAGAAATTCCTCCGGCTCCATCACCAATAGATTCGTCTTCTCAGTCTCAGAATCCCATTTCCAAAACCCTAGAAAATATTCGAGTTGAAGAAAATCGAATGGAAAAAGTAGCTTCAGAGATCGAGCACGGATCAGGAGAGGGAGAGGGAGAAGGAGAAGAGGAAGATGGAGAGTGTGGCTTCTGCTTGTTCATGAAAGGAGGAGGTTGCAGAGATGAATTTATAGCATGGGAAAAGTGTGTGGAAGATGGAGAGAAGAACAAGGAGAACATTGTTGAGAAGTGCTCTGAGATCACTGGTTTGCTCAGGAAATGCATGGATGAGCATTCCGATTACTACGAGCCGATACTTAGGGCAGAGAAGGAGTTGGAAAAGAAAGCCTCTGCTGAATTGGATCAAAAAGAGGGACAAGCTGGTAACCCTGAGAAAAAAGATACTGAACTGAATGAACTAGAGAAGAAAGAAACTCAGTGATGGTTTACTGTAGGTGAATTTGTTTTCTTTTTCCGATAAAGAATAAATGGAGGAATGGGTACAAGAACTGGTTTTAACGGGAATTTAGCATTTGGTTTGCATGGATTCGCGAAAAAATATGGTTCTCTGTTCTTGTGGCTCATGGATCCTGAAAAAGGTTATTCGAGGTCCATTTTTGCCTATAGACTTTATCCCTGAGATGTTATCCAGTTCATGGTGATTTTTTTGGAGCACTGAACCCTGTCCATGAACTGAAATTTTTCTTTGTCCTTGATGTTCTTTCTAGTTTGATGCATTGCTTGAAAAATCAGTAATCCAAATCGGAATTGCCGATCACTGGTCCAATTCTTACTGTATGGGTGAGTTGGCCCTATGTATGTAATTTACAAATGGAATGACTTAAATCAAAAGAAAATTCTTACTTCAGAAATTTGGATTGTTTCTCTTTTGTAATTCATTATCTGAACTGCAAACGTAGATATTACCATGGATAATTGCATGTGAAATATTCAGCTCGGCTTGAGCCCTGTAAGCTAAGAGCATGGAGCTCTCTCATGCATTAGTTGACCATTAAATATATAAGCCTTCAGGCAGCTAACAGGTTCTCTGATGTCCAGACCTAGATCTCGACCAGACCCATTTAGCACCCCTAATAATCCTTATAAGTTTGGAAAAAGCTTACATAAGGTTCCTGACTGTTTTATTTGGACGGTATAGATTTGACATTATCCTAGAAGACGTATTACCTTTTCGGCAGTGTCTTAAAATATACGTCAAATCTATACCATTCAATTAAAATGGACGATGTCGAAAACCTCATATTAACCGCACCCTGTAAGGTTTTAATGATAAGTTTGATTGCAATGAGTTTATACATTTTGATGGGAAATGTAATTTGGATATGCCAGAGTTGATTTATCATGGATTCTTCTTTTTCTGGTTTTATTGTTTGTGGAAATAAAAAGCCAATTAAACTTGTTAATTCATTGAAGCATTAGTGCAGGCAAAGCAATAAAAGAGGAAAATCTGGCAAAATTGTAGCAAATATGATTTAATTTCTGAATTTTTTCGTATTGTGCCCATTTTGAGATAATTGCCCCTGTGGCTTGCAACTGTGATTTGATGCTCTGAAATAATTGAAAAGGATCATCTGCCCTGGAGAAAACCATTGCTAAATCAAGCAGCCCTGCAAAGAATCTACCATGGCTCAGAGTGTCTCACTCACAAGAAACCAAAAAGTGCAGGAGAATAAGGAAAACCACACTGTTACATTGGCAGTGGTAGAGTGTTGCTGGCCAACATATCTAAGGTGTCTGGTGCTTCAGCTTGAAAGGCATTACGAGAATACATGTACATGCATTTTATTAGTTTAGATAAAATACAGTAATATATTTTCCCTTATTCAATCATAGATGCTGCTGTTGTGCCTGTAGTAAGTCCCTAGTTCAAGGCCGAGCCAGAGCCAAGGCGCCGAACCAGCCTTGCAGAACTTAGGGCTAAGGCTAGCTTGGCCCGTTTCTAGCCCTATATTGTTGCTGAATGTGCATGGGATAGTTATGTAGGAGTAGTGCTAATTGTGGGAAAGAGGACTGCAGTTGTAAGAACATGGGTGTCATGAGGATATCTTGGTGGGAACAGTTCTTTGAGAGAACCGTTTTATCCGATCCATTATGATTTTGTATGAGATTAGCAATGAGTTTCTCATGGTAACCATAAGCAGTTATGTAAAAGTGAGTTCTCCCACTTCGTTCGGTGACCATGTGAAAGTGGGCTTTTCCATTTCACTCCATGATTTGATCCCTGTATGGTAATGGAGACAGTTCGATAGATATGGGTTCATGCTTTTATGTTTTAACTACTGGAGGAATACAAAAAATTATATCAGGGACTGTCACTTGGTGTGACGGTAAAAAGCTCGGGTAGTCAGCGCAAAAGCGCAGGTTCGAGTCTTGAGAGCGGCTACTTCGCGCATAAAAAGCCAAAGGTTAGGACCGTTTTCATCTCACCCCTCCCGAGAAGACCTTGCTTAGGCGGGACCAGCACCGGGTTACAGCCCTATATATCAAGATTGGCATCCACAGCTTCTGACTACTAAAGAAATACACACCACGGCTTTGACCACTGAAGGAATAGAGAATATATGAAGATTGCCCTCCACTGCTCCTGGGACCGCTAGAGGAAAATACCAAATATATCAAGATTGTCGTCACATCTTACTACTGGAGGAATACAAAATATACCAAAAGTGCCTTCCATAACTTCTGATTGTTGGAAGAAATATATGATAGGTTAAGATTCCCCTCCATGGCTTCTTACCACTCGTGGAATACAAAATGTATCAGGATTGCCCTCCATGGGTTCCAATCATGAAGGAATACAAAATATATCAAGATTGCCACCATGGCTTCTGACAGCTAGTGGAATTCAAAAACAATTAACAAGTACTTTCTATGGCCTCCAGCAGCTGGAGGATTACAAAATATATCAAGACTTCCCTCCATGGCTACCGACTACTGGAGTACTACAAAATACCTCCAGGTTGCTTTCCACAACCATTTTACAAATACATAATGTCAAGATTGCCTTCCATGGCTTCCAACCTATGGAGATCTACCCTTGCAATATACAATTTCTTGGGGCTTCAAAATTTTATGCACAAAGGCATCTACTTTTAGAGTTCATGCTTAAGGGAACCAAATCCCTTTAACTTACTAAAATATCCATTTATGTATAATAGGTGCATTCAAACAAGAAAGATACCTCAGGTTTGATATATATCTGACCATAGCCTTGGTTGTGTTTTGATCATGATTAGCATATAGATGAGCCACTTGGAGTGGATTATAACTATAGCAGTAGTCATATTGAACCTGGGTTATAATGACCAGACTGTGAATCGTCGTAGACATGAGCCGTTTGGGATTAGCCAGATGGTTCATGACACGTATTAGGCATGCCATGCCATGCCATGTGAAATATAAACTCATGATATGGACAAAATCTATTCTCTTGCAACACGACCGATTCTATGACACTTGCCATTTGAGATATCTAAGCAATTGGGCACAAATCCTAATTAGTTCCTAGGAACACAAAAACCACCGAAGCAGGCACTAGATCCTATGTTTCACTCTTACTCAAAGCTGCCAGATCCTCTTCCGTCGCAATGTGCTGTTCTCGAAAACCTACCGCCTTCTTGAAGGTGGCTGGCTCTTTAATCTCCTTACTATATGCTGTCAGGCCTGCAACGACTTTTGCATAGGCTGCATCTGCATATCTTGGAACTTGGATTGGGTTTGATAGGCATGATGTTCTCCTCAGTACTGGGCTTGCACATTGCTCAGTGTCAGGCTCTTCAAGTTTAGAGCTCCACTGTTGTTTGGTAATGGTTTATGGTCTATGATGTTTTTGACTATTTTCAGTAATTTTTCTTCGTTTTTGAATGGTTGCTGCATAAGATTTACTTCAGTTATACGAGCTCAGAAGATCATGTATTTAAGGTTTTGTTTGGTATTATTACTCAACCATGGTTTGGTGCAATAAATGCGGGAAAGATCAGCCTACAGTTGATGATAATGGTTACATGTGAGTTTTCTCGTGTTTGATATTCTTCCCCCCCCCTCCCCCTCAAATATCATGTTTGATATGTTTTTGTATATTTCCTCCTTTGCCTGATCACTCTATGTGTATTTTTTTTGTTGACTGCATTGTTTTATTGATGCATTATTGTTATTAATATGTGAAAAGAGTCTATATAGAGCATGAGCATTATACTATAAAAGTAATGCACACCCCAAAACCCACTAGAAAAGTTTTGTTTTGGCGCTAAAAACCCTCCAATTGATCATCTTGATATCAAGATGTATGGATGTCAAAAAGGAAGGATTCCATGTCTTAAAAATGGTGCATCTTGTAAGGCGATATCTAAATTGTCCATTTTCAAGATTTTCAAGTGTGTATAGATTTACTCGATTCTGCACCATGTTTGGAACTTTAAATTTCATAATTAGGGATAGAAATAGATTTTCAGGCCATCATAGGGATTTCCATAACCTGAGGTACTTCTTATGGCAGGTGAGCCTTATTTTTTTGTTTGATATAAACTACATTGTATTTCATTTGTACGGGATTGCTTAGTATCATCAGCCACACTCAGTTGATTGCCTTTTTATATATATGTGAATGCCATGTGCTTACTGAATCTCTGTTAATGTATGTTCTAGATGCTGTAATAAATGTGGAAGGGTTATTGATTCAAATTATTCCACAGAGGCAGAGTTTGTGAAAACAGCAGGAGGCCAGGTTTGTTACTGTTATTCTTCAGCGTAGTCAATTAAAAAACAGTCCTGTTTGATATATAGTAATATATTTTTGAATAATGAACGAGCAAAAGGCATCGTATACCACTTATGATTCATTCATCATAATATTTGGGGCTAAAACTTTATATATTAGTAGCAGCTATCATTTTTCTGGATTACTTGTGCTGTTTTTGTGGGATATTTTGGAAGAAGGAGATCCTTTTTCTTTTTTTATCCTGAATTTATCAGGATATATTTGCTGTGCACACATTTCTCAAAAAAAAGATATATTTGCAGTGCACACAGTTCTACGAAAAATGTTATTGTAGTTACTGGAACATATTCAGCATTGGTAACCCGATATGTTCTGGGTCTAATTATTACTTTTGCTTACTTTTGAGGTTGATTTTTTTCTGACAGTTATTTGATGGTGTTGTTTTTTTGCTTGTTTTGGTGATTGATTGTTTACTGATAGTTAATTTGATGAATTTGATGTTTCTAGAGCCGACTAGCGGGTAGCTTCATAAATCCTCATGAAAGGGCAGGTTCCCATGAAATGACTTGAAGAAATGTAGGATGTGCTTTAAGATTTTCTCTATTTTGGTTAGTTGAATTAGTTAAATAACTCTATTTGGATTTTAGACCCTTCGTTTATCTCACTGTCCTTATTCATAGATTATGTTGTTTTCCTGCTGGCTTCAAAATTATCCCTCCAAAATGTTCAAATTCCAATTCATTAAACTAAAGTACTTCATTTTATTTGGAGTGGCCAATTTAAAGTAATTTTATTCCATGTGAATTACTACAACTCTAAATGGTAGGCACGAAGGAAAACAGAGGATCAGTTTTTTGGAATTTGTATAATGGGGTGTTACCCTTCTTTCTTTTGGTCAGGGCCTTGATTTTGCATAGGAAAAGGGGGAATGCAGGTTCATGTTCTAAAGTGGGGATATAACATAGTTACTTTGTTTAGTGTTCAGATGTCTTGGGGACTAAGTTGAACGTTTGGTATTGATCGCTGATAGGATCTGT